ACAAACTGTTTACAATAAATACAAAACAGAACTTCTTATGTTGGAACATTGTTTTCCTCTCTTATTATTTACCAAACATACTCCAAGGATGTTCCCCCGGATAAGCTGGAGGAGGTGGCTGGGGAGAGGGAGGTCTGGGCTTCTCTGCTTAGGCTGCTGCCCCCGCGACCCGGCCTCGGATAAAGCGGATGAAGATGGATGGAATACTCCAAGGATAGTTTCAAGAATTTAGAGGAGACACCAAGTGTGCCATTACATGAGGATAGCTGGACAGCACCAAAAAATGGCATCAACCCAGCAGCAGGACCAATATCTGCTTCTTTATGTAAATGACAGTGGAAACACTGCCAGTGTCACTGCCCACAAAATGACCTACTCGTGCATGTTTCTGTGGAAAATCAGTCAGAAGGAATACAGGAAAAGCAACAGTCCTGCTAAACCATTTCCTTTTGGGGAGGGGTTGTCTTGTTGTTACCTCTCCAGCACATCCACTGTGACTTGGTGCCATCCCTCAAGTCCTCCTTTAATTTTTGAGAAGTGTCAATATTTGCAAGGGAAATCTGACTAATTCTGTGAGATAATATATACTTTTGATAAACCTAACTTAAATGTTAGCTAGAACACACAAACTGGTTTCAATTTGGGGATCTATGCAGTAAAGAACAGACATACTTTATTGTACTGCTACTTTTAATTTCTTATGAGCATATTTAAGAGCTAAAATTAAGATATTTAATACCATTACATCTTTTTTGTAAACTGAAGCCAATCAAAATGTGTGATACCATCTCAATATGTGGGACAAGACAAACACATGATCACCCTAACTTCCCATTGTGACATTCTATTTTCTTTTATTACATCTTATAATGAATACAGAAACTGTTTATAAAAAAATATAGAAACTTGGCATACATAAGACTCCTGTTCCTGTTATGAGATTTTTCTTTCACGTTAATTTGGAGACTTTTTGGAAAATCAAAACCTCATATCTGTAACCCATGCATGTAAACAGACCCGCAATTTGCATGCGACAATCATTTGTGAAACGTGACACTGTCACCACATTTAATCTGCATGAGTGCACTGCACCTGGCAAATCACTTTTCTGAAACAAACTTTATTAGGATGGCATCAGGCAATTTTATCAGCTCTGACTGTTAACATCAAGCAAACAATCGCATAACTATCACAGATCCTGGCTCAGAGCAAATATCAATATCTTACAATTTGGATATGCATGACGGAAAAAGAGAAGGCTGAAATACAGAGCAACTTGGAAAAATAAAATATTTTATTTTTAGAATAAAGGAAAAAAGTGAGATCAAGTTTAATGGTACAGACTTAGAATAACAGAAAAAAATAGTGATAATCAAGAGTAATCATATGAACTTAGGATGCAAAGATCCATATATTAAAAAAACAAACAAAACATAAGGGAAGGAAATCATATTCCAAAAAAATCTTAAGTGATTATGAAAAGCTTTACAGCAGCTTTGATTCAGTTTTGCACCGCTTATGTTTTGGTCGTGAACAGTTTGTAAACATGGCAGCAGAACTTAGCGTTCTTTTGTTCAATATGAACAATCGTGTCTTTGTCGAAGAACACCTCGTTTTTATTTGTCTGAAACAAAAGAGAAGAGCACACATTAATCCACATCCAGACTACTCGCCCTGATGTTTGCATACTCATGTCAAGTTACACACCTCATCCCAGGTTTCAATCAAATCGATCGTCCGCAGTAATTGTCCGGTCTGGTTGTCATGGAGTTGGATGCACGCTCTTCCTTCTCCCTCCTCGCCGTTGGTTACCACGATTGCCAAAAGGTCAAGCTCATCCTCATATTCCACCATTCGGAAAGTCTGCATAATCAAAAGGCCGTTGTGAATTAAGTCTGTGAAGGTTCTCAGTCATCCAGGTCATTGTAGTCACTATGAAGAAAAGCGTTTCCCTTGCTTTTCAAGCAACTTAAAGAAGTCCAGACGCTTTTCTTTGCAAGCTTCTTTGACCATTGTGAATTAAGTGCTGCGTACCATGTTCTCTTTAATGAACAGCTCTAAGAGCTTTTACTTGCCTGCAGTGTTTAAACCTGAAAGCCTATCAGTGAAATTCTTCAGAGGACATTACCCAACACATATCTCACCTGAGAAAATGTGTAAGGACAATTAAATGTATAAAAATCAATTGAGCTGCCATCCTGAATATTCTGCACTTTAAATAAATATGCAGGGTTCTTTTTTTTTCCTTCTAAAAATATTTTGGCGCACACCAAAGAGGCTTTGGCTTTCCCCCAGGAAAAGGAAACTCCCACTGGCTCTCTGCCTTATGTTACATGGAGACCAATTTAGGTTACATACATACTCTCCTCCAAAGTCCCATTTTGAGCCAGGAAACCTCTGAAAGGTGTTTTTAAGGACAGAGGATCTTGTATGATGACTGAATTCGACTTAAGATCCTCAGTCTTTTTGAATTTTTATTACTGAGCTGTAAATCTATTTAAGCCTGCTGGGGTGTTGACAATACCTCATCAGCGTCTTACAGCTGATTGGGGAAGAAAAAACTGTTTTGCATGAAAATTCAGCTGAAAAGAGAAATAAACCCTGCATCAGTTGGCTATTTTTAGCTGCAGATTTGCAGTATTAAGAGGTATTTACAGGAGAGGAAGTGTAGGCAGGATTGAGTCATGTCTGCCATGATGGAGAAAATTGTCAACGAAAATTTCTTTAGTTTAGGTCAATTACAGAGGAAAAACTAATATATATTCAATTCAATTCAATTCAATTTTATTTATATAGCGCCAAATCACAACAAAAGTCGCCTCAAGGCGCTTCATAGATACAGAGAAA